TTCCATTCTTCCCCCATTTATCTGCAGTCTTTTCAATATGCACACACCCTTCAATCTGTGCATATAAATAAACCATTGACACATTTAAGTTTAATCATCATACATGCATATTTACAAATAAGGAGTGAAAAATGACCAATTTACCCTTGTCATACCTCTGCCAACGATTCTTTCCAAAATTCTCGCCAAACATTCCCAAAAGCATCACGACCCGATTTCTCAGATCCAAGTTCCTTATACCCAAACTCATCAGAAGCTTCCCAATATTTCTCTTCCCATTCAACAGATTTATCAGCACTAACACCTCTAGTCAAAGTCCACCTACACACCTTTCCATCTGCTCTCACTTCTGTCCCTGTTTCTTTCCACCACATTGACCCTTCAACATTAGTGCCATCTGTCACTGGGTCCACATCAGCAAGAGCATGAGCTGCAGTTTCTGCATTTCTTGAAAACAATTTATCAACTTCTTGTGCTTCTATCAGTTGAGGAGTTGAAAGATCCTGTTTTTCAACCTCTTTAAGGGACTGGAATGGTGGAAGTGGAGGATTCTTGGTTTTGCTTTCGAATGGGAGAGTGAGATGAGATGAGGAAGGGTCTAATTCCATTACTGGGTTTGGTTGAATGGGAGATGCTGAGGTTTTTCTACTTGATGCAGGGGTAGATCCGTCTTTTTCATTGGAAGGTGGTATCCATGACCAGAAATTTGGACCTGGTGTTCCGATGCTAGATGATCCTGATGTACACACAAATATGATAAAATTGATAATCGGAAATGAAACAAAATCGAGAAAATGGCAACAACATTCAAACACCTAATTTGATCCTTCAGTAACACATAATTACCTACCTCTAAAATCACATCAAAACATCTCCTAATAAGCAAATAAGTTCGAAGATTGAAAAGGGGAATTACCTTGCTCTGAATCCCCAAATATAGAAACCTCTCTGCCATCGTCATTATCCAGATGGCCTAATTCGTAGGACTCATTCTCAATCGGCATTTTCTCATCCCTTAGAAGTGTACTGGCAACAGCAATTGCAGCAGCGGCCCGATCGATCACCTGTGTTCTTTGAATTCTATCCCTCTCCTCAGTAGGAACTTCAAGTATCTTCAAGAACTCACTGCTCTTCGTCTCCAAATCCTCGTCTCCTCCGCCGTTATCCTCGTCTCCGGCCACGTTCTCTACAATTTTCTTGAACTCGATTTCCTTCCTCTCCCTGTCCATCGCCTTTCTCCACATCCCCAGATACGATTCTCCGCCATCTGAAACCCTAGTAACTCCCAGACTCGGTCGTTTACCTCTGGCGTCGCTTGAAAATAAGAAGCGGTTCGGCGCTTGTAGCAATCGGTGGTGGTTGTTTGTGTAACATGGTGTGAATGTGATGTAAAACTTCGACGCCATTTCCGATTAGTGAGGGAAACTAGTATAGATCATGGGATAATGGTTGTGAATCTGAGAATAGAGTTGTGATTATAAGTTGTGAAACGAAGGCAGCATATACTTTTCTTGGAGAACAGAAAGCGTTGCTTAAATTTGAAGGTAGGCCTGGCAGATAAGAGAGGGAACGTGTGTCACGGATTAGTGCTGTGTCGACATTAACTTTAACGAAGCCATATAAGCAGAGACAAAAACCTCGGTTAAGTTTTAGCTTTTAAACAGTTATTTATTTTTGACTTAAACATAATTGACCAAAAACATTAGAAAATAATCACATTTTGCAAATTTATCTTAAAATAAATAGCAAAAATGTTTATAAATAATTTATTATTATTTTTTTTTGCATAAAGATGAAAGTGATTATGCTTAGCATTTACGAAGTTCTTCAAATTTGTGAAATACCATAATAGCCAAAAAAAAAAAAAAAATTTACTATAAAATAGTCAAATAAATAAATAAATAAAAGATCATCAATATAGCCATGATGCGATGAAGTGGTTTACCACGTGGTGGTGATTGTCACGTCACCACAACACGGTGGGTAACTCGCCACGACGTGACACTGTTATGGACTCAAAACCTTAAATCTCAGATCTTGAGCTTTATTTAAAATATGTTGGGGCTAGGGTTCCCCCTAACCCCTACCCTCCATGAAGATATCCCAACACCCTAGTCTCTCCCTTTCATGTTCTAAGCCTCATTTTTGTGGATTTGGTGCTTTTAGAGGAAGAAGTTGTGCTTTGTGAGTCCTTGAGCCTTCAAGCAAGCCAACTCTAACATTCAAGCATCTCATAGATATATGTAAGCATCCTAGAGTGATATATGATAAAGTTTTTTCATGTTGTGTAAATTTGAGAGACTATTTATGATAAAGTTTGCAACTTTATCACTCTCTGAGGTCCTAAGAGTGATATATGTTCAAGATCTAGATTTCTAGTTTGTTTTGGTGCCAAGCTTGGGGTTTTGACCCCATTTCTCACTATTTTGACCTAGGTTGTTAAAGGACATGCATGTACATAAACTCAAGATTTTTATGAACCTTTGGGATGCCAATAAGCCTTCTAGAAAGTAATAGGTTTTGTCTTAACGGATTAAGTGCTTAATAAAAGTATTAAGGTATCAAAACCAACACATCATGGTAATAAGCTAACCACGACGTGGTGGTTTTATGAGTTGCGTCTGTTTTATTAGACCGGACCATGACGTGGTCAAGGGTGTGCCACAGCGTGGTGGGTCGTTGACCTTTGACCATTGACCGTTTACTTTTTTACCAATTTGACTTTTGGTCAAATGTTAGTGAAAGTGTATCTCAAATTTTTGAGTAAGGGAAAAATAATATTTTTCCCTATGAAAAGGATTAAGAGAAGAAAGACTCTTTTAGTGGAGTAAGTTAAGTAATGTGCCTTAATTTCTAAATTGGGGATTAATTGTTTTTTAGTAGCTCAAAGCAGTGTCAGTGACACCTAGTTGTGGTGTAGATTACCTGTAACACCCATTTCAGGTATGAACTAATCCATCATATTGTAAGTCTTCATTCTGGGTGGCCACGACGTGATGGAGCCTCACCATAGCGTGACGATGTTTTCAAAGATCACGGGATTTAAAAGACCTGCCACGACATGACCATATATGTCATGGCGTGGTAGCCGTTTTTAATGAAACCCTAATTTTCGAGTTTTGCACCCTATTCTAAGGAATAAGGAGGCTAGGGTTTATTCATCCTCAACCTCCATCACTCTTAAACCCTTATCTTATTTGAAGCTTCTGGATCTCATTTGCTAGCTTTTGGCGATTTTTAAGGAAGCAGAGGAATATTTTGTGCAAGAGACCAGCAAGCAACACTCCCCAACCTCTGAAAGCACCTTGTTGTTGGATAAGGTGTCTAAGTCCATAACTATTTCTGGTATGTACTTGACCCGACCCGGCATGGTCCATTTGGGTTGCATGGCACCATGCAATTGGATAGACTAAATGAGAGAAATAACACTTGGAGATTATTAATATATTATAAGTTCTAATATATTAATAATATTATTTGATTAGTTTGATCAATAATTAATTTAGAATTAATTAAGTGATCAAAAGAGAACTAATTAAATATATGGGTTGATTATGTAAATCATCCATATCTTGTATAGTGGGCTAAGAGGCTCCATGGATTATCAAGTTGGGTTCTACCCATAAAGATGCTCCATGGATGCTCCATGGGAGTTACAAACCCATGGGTCATGGAAATGAAGAGTCATGACACATTAGGGTTTACATGGTGTAACCTTAGATGTGTCAACACTATATAAGGATCTCATTCTCCACCAAAATCGGCTACACTAAGGAAACAAGAGGGCTAGGCCGATTTCAAGAAGTGTGCATTCTCTCAAAAGTCTTTCCAAGAGCATTTGGTGTTGTGTGAAGCATTTGAGGCATCACACTTGGGGTGCTAGGCTCATAAGGTTTCAAGGAACATAAGCAACAACAAGGTAAGTTATTCTATCTATCATTCAAGTTAAAATTGTTCCCCATGTATGCTAGTTAGGAATATAGCCTTGGAATTCAACTTTGCATGATAATTAGACAAACATAGATCCAAGGTTATTAGGGTTGCATGTACACTTAGGAAGTGTTAGAATGCTCAAAACCCATCAGTGGTATCAGAGCCTAGGCTTGTTTGCTTTTTTATTTGTGCTTAAAAGTTGAAAAAAGTCAAAATCTTGCTGTCTAACGAATGGACTCGTTGAGTCCATGGGGGGGACTCGTCGAGTTCACGTGTATCTTCAACCTACTCGATGAGTAAGTTCATGCACTCGGCGAGTAGGGTCGACAGATTGCAAAATTTCGACTTTAGTTGCTGGAAATGGACTAGAAACATTACCCTAAACTGTTTTGGTACTTGAAAACTTGTTTTGATGGTGTAATGTTCTTTCTAATTCATTTACAACAACTAGTTATCAAAATTACAAAGTTTTAAGTGTAATTTTGATTTATGAATGTGTTCATATTCATGTTCTTGTTTTATGATGTTTTAGATGATCATAGGAATTATTTGTAACCTATGTGGTAGATTAATTCTTGATCATAATGTGTTTTAATGGAGTCCATAACTTGTCCTCAAGTTATGGAAAACCAAGAGTCACACTTGAATTAAAACCATTAAAAAAACACAAGAGTTAGAAAAATGAAGAGTCTTCATTTTATTACTCTATTAAACTCATAAGTTACAAGAAATGAAAAGTTTTGAAAGTTACAAAACTTGCCCTCAAGTTTTGGAACAAGTAAAGTTAAGTTAAAACTTTAGTTCCAACCCTTAGAATTTTAAAAGTTAAAATTCAATCCTTATACTTATATTATGATGATTTAATAATTATATATATGTGTATAAGAACAAAGTCGTCTTACCGCTAGTACGCCTCATTCACGAAGCCGGTCTATAAGGTGGGTATAAGGTTGTTGCCTATAAAATGGTGACTTAATGGGTGTCTACTCTCACCCACCGCTTGCTTGACTGGTGGAGGGTCGTTAGCCGAACGGGTAAGACAAGGACTTATAAATTCTCATTCAAAGTATGATGAATATAATAAAGTAACTAAATGTTTTATTAAATTCCCAATCTTAGTTACTTTAGGAAAATGTGAATAAGGTGCTAATCCATGAAATTACACTTTACACTTTGTCTAAGTCGTTGGTGGAGCGTGTGTGGTTAACCGGCACACTAACTTGGACTTAACAAGGTAGGTAAAGGGTGACTTAAGGTTTATTATAGTATCGGTGGAGCGTGTGTGGTTTACCGGCACATCGATTGAGTGATAAACTTTAAGGGTACCAAGTGATTTGCATGGTTACTTCACACCTCGTTTTGTGATCCTCGGTATCCCAGTCACAAAACTTGGAGGGCACACTCGAGATTGAAACATGCCTTTGAAAAGCTCATTGAATCTCAAAGAATCTAGGAATTTCTAAGAACCAAACAAAAAACCTTATACTTAAATGTTTCGGTTTTCGTGGTGGAAATTGGTGAATCTTCATTCACCTACCTTTCAAATATGGTATAGCTTAGACTACGACATACCTCTTATAAAAAATATGTTATATTGTGATTGGATCCTAGCCTTAATATTACATTTGGGTGTTTTATTAAGGACTCTCATATATCTATACTAAACTTGTTCTCTTCTTTCAGATGTCTTCAAACAATGCTGCTTCTGGCTCGAATCCTAATGGCTCCTTTACTCTTATGAGCTTGTGTGGGAAAGTTACCTTTGATGGATCCAACTTCAATGAGTGGATCAGAAACATCAGGATGATTACCCGCTACGAGGACAAAGAATATGTCCTTGACAAGGAGCTTAAGGAAATTGATGAGTCCACTGCAACTCCCCAGGAGATCGCTGACTTTCATACTCATGAAAGAGATGCACCAAGGTGGCTTGCATCATGTTGGCCACAATGACAGCTGAACTCCAAAAGTCTTATGAAGATTTCTACCCTTATGAAATGCACCAAGATTTGATGGAAAGATACCATCAAAGTGCACGACAAGAGAGGTATGAGATCATCTGCTCCATGATAAAGCCATGATGAAGGACGGGGAATCCGTCACGAGCCACATGCAGAAATGCAAAGGTATGTGGATCGTTTGCTGAAGCTTAATGTGAACTTCCCTGAGGAGCTTGCAATAGATATCATTTTGCACTCCTTACCATCGTGCTATGATCAATTCCGCATGACATATCACATGAACAAGGAAGAGGTCACCCTCAGCAAACTTCAGGGACTTCTCAAGACCGCAGAAACAGGTCTTAAGGGGAAGTCGGTTGCTATCACTCCTACTCCAAACTCAACTCCGGTTTTGGCAATCGGGAAAAGTCGAGGGAGGAAGAGAAAGAGATCTTCGAAGGGTACCAAGGCTCGGACCCTTGATGGCTCTTCTTCAAATGGAACCAAGAAAGGTTTCATTACTCCTTCTTCTGACCCAAAAGAGGCTGAATGCTTCTATTGCCATGAAAAGGCTCA